ATGTCTATGCATTTTAAAGTTCTCTGTGGGTAGAAAATAACACCTTTGCTGGACAGATTATAAAGCGACTTCTCCAAGATATACATTGAAGTTGTAGCTTAGAGGGAGAAGTGTGAAAAAGCTAATAATTTGCAAATATCATCGATGGGCTGAATCGACCCAAAGAAGTTAATTTATTTAAAGCCATTAAACCACAAGTCAATGAGGACCTTATGTTTTTTGTTTTTGTTGAATCGTACACATCAATATAAAGCCTCTGGGTATACTTACCCGGCCAAAAACAATTAAGTCAATTATGCTCAAGAACAACCTACCCAGCTTTTCATATGTTCTAATCCATTCCTCCTACATCCATCAAGCAAACACCTAATTCACCATGTGGATTTTGCCCAATACCCTACAGGCCAGAAAACTTGGATTCTAGACCTTGAATTTCAGAGGCTTGGTAGCAGTTTAAGTGCCTGTCAGCTTAATTGCTGGCCTCTCCTTTTTGATGATGGAGGGATAATTCTCAATGGCATTACCACCCTACCCCATCTCCTCCAGCTATTTAGGGGTAAGGTCTAATTACTCATCCAAAAAATAAGACAAAATATACTTAACACAGGAGTTCTCCCAATCACTTGACAATTAAAAACAAAAATATCAGAAACCAAAAACGGAAATCACTCTGTTCCTTTGTCCTGTGCAGATGCGGAAGCTGGTGTTAAGCGAACAGAGGCTCAGAGGAGAAGGATAGGACACAGAAGCACTTACCTCCTCTCCCAAATACCTCCCGTTCTTGACATTCTGCTGCTTCCAGCCACTTCTCTAGTCCTGTCTTGTATTGTGTGTGTGGCTTTTTTTTTGGGTGGTGGATGCCCTAAACCCTGGCTGCACACTCTACCCTGATCACCTCCCCATACAGACCCACCTCTCAGGAGCCTGGGCCAGAGTCAGCGCTTCTCCACCCTTCTACTCGGCCCAGTCCTTGCTCACACAGCCCGTGCTTTTTGAGGGGCTTTAGTGGATGGACAGGATGGGGTGTGAGGAAGGAAGAGTGGGGGTTTATAGTCAGGACTCTACTTTCTGTGATTGGAGCCCCTAAGTGTGAGGCAGAAGTCTCCTCAAGCTCCCTCTCCCCTGATCTTCCCGCACATTTCCAGAGCTTTCAACATTAAAGAGACAGAGAGGAAACTCTGACTCTCAAATTCCAAACCTGTGCTCTCCACGCCATTCTCATCGTAGCGGCAGGAAAAGCGATGTTGCCCCAACCACAGCAGGCTGCTCAGGTTCAGAAGTGGATGGTTCGCACCATCACTAGATGCGTTTTCCTACCATCACCTACAGTCGCTGTCCCATACGCCAGGGACAGAAGCACACCTTCCACCTCTTCATTCTGCCCTCTTCACAAGGGCCTTCTGGCTGACTGGGTAAGGGGAGGCTTGCCCTTGGGAATGACAGAGTTTTGGTGTGTCCCTCAGGTGCAAGAGGTAAATCAAATGTCAATCCTTGTCTTCATGAGATGTGAACACTGGCATCTGATCCCATGGGGGCGTAAAGAACATTTAGAAAGTGAAGCTTTCTCAGGTCAGCTGGAAGAATGGCTTGAGAATGGATTGAGAAGAGGCTTCTCAATCTTCCTCAGGACAAAATAATCAATATGGCAAAATAGCAAATTTTGGAGTGACATAGTTTGCTACCCTTCAGGGAAAGATGGACACATTTGAATATGTAAATTAGAAAATCACTTTTCTTTTTAGTGTTAAAATGGTATCCTAGAAATCAGGCAAATGCTATTGTTTCTAGGGTATTTGTGATGAGGTGTTCAGGGGAGAATCTGTTGTGTCAACTTTCAAGTGTCTTGAACACCCAGATGTATATATATATATATATGTGTGTGTGTGTGTGTGTGTGTGTGTGTGTGTGTGTATGGGTAAGATCAATAAAGCAAAGTGTAAGCAATGCTTGACTACAAGTGGAGAAATTAATTTTCTTAATTTTAATTTCTATTAATTTTAATTTTTTGTAATAAAATTGTGAAAACAGATAAATACTAGTCTGATCTTACAGCTCCTAAACATGTCTGGATTTTAATACTATTTTTCACTCAAGATTGAAGATCTTTGTTCCACACTTTAGACACCAGGTGACTAGGGATGTAATCTGTGAGCCTGGAGCCTCACCGAAATCCACAGTAGCCTGTGTCCTTGACCAGCCCTGTGTATGCCAGGACCGTAATTTTTTAGCCTAAAATAACCTGACAAAATATTTTCTCCTACTTTTGTTTGAAGGCATATGAAAACTTTACAAAATCACAAAGATCAAAACATAGGTAGATGACTTTTGTGCATTCAATATAGAATAAATCATTTTAGTGAAAAATAAGACAATTAATGAACAATGCTGTTTCTGTACCTTGAAGCCAAAGCTAGTGTGATTTATAGCAAAATCTTTCTTTTATTTTACAAGGTCAACTTAATAATCTATCATGACATTATGTTGGAGATAAAAATGTCTTCCTTGTCTTTTATTCTTAACTTTTAATTTCCTTTTTGAATCAGGCTTTCAGTTTTGACCTTCACAATTACTAAGGAACATCAGATTGCAGTAATTAGAATATTACAGAAATATCATCTAAAATTATGGTTATTAGTCCATTAACTTAGGCAACCACAATTTCAACTCCTGAGAATTTTGAAATGATTTAATTTTAGTTATATGTTGCACTGTTCTCTTTTTTTAATGATAGTTGCAGAGTAAGTCAGAAAGGTTCATACTACATATTATAACACTGTGAATACAAAAGGAACATATGCCGAGAAGATTAATTGAAGGGAAACGTGTGTTTTCTAAATATTAGCACATAGAGTTTTCATTTGATATGCGATATAACAAATTACTTTGAGTTTCATTCCTCAAACAAAGAAAAACTGCTTTAATTGTTATTCCTAAGTGAATTTTATTTTAAGAATGTGAAGCGTGGCCCTCCCTGGTGGTGCAAGAGGGTTAAAGCACAGCACTGAGAATCTAAAGCTGCTTCCGCATGAGTTCGATTCCCGCCT